GGACGGGGGGAGCCTCGAGCAACGCAGCGCAAGACATGGGCGAAAATCTCATTGACTCGTACAGGTAAGAAATTCCGCCCGCAGCGTTGGCGCGTTCGCGGTGATCCGTGAAACTCGTGACGAGAGGGAAAAAGGTGTTATTCTTGTGAAAAAATCGGCAGAGTGGACGAACCGTAAGATCGAGTACGTAGAAGGTGAGAGACGCGCGAGAGAATGTATCTTCGAATGATGCCTAAAAGACCAACAACACGTTCTCTTCGGTGCAGCACGATTTATCCGCGGCCCGAGGATCATTCGAGGCGCCGGAATATTACAAAATTGCGACGCCAAGGAGCCGCTGTTGGCTTGGATTTATTGCCCCCGAAGCCGAGGGTTAATTGAATCGTCGAATCTAAAAGGGGCCCCTTGACGTGTTATTACTGCTCGGGGTTTTTCTTTTCTCTCGTTTTCCTTCCATCCGCGTCTTCATTAATTTCATCCAAAGAGTATCATATACACGTACACGGCCGATCAAATCAGTTATCCTAATGGCTTCGCGACCTAATATTAATTATACCCTCGGTTCTTGCGATTGGTCCATCTTGCGCGCAATCGATTTCTAATGCCTCGTCGAGTTAACAAATAACAGGGGGGGTGTCGGACACGTGGGGGTTTATTTTTTACGCGTGTATATGATGCAAAAGAAAAAAAAAAAAAAAAAAAAGGAGGCACGACCGAAATTGTCGTTGTACAGAGTCTTTTCGACAGCCAGTGCTCCACTTGAACGGCGTGTAACAGTGTCGTTTGTGCGCGAGCGAGAGGTTTATTATACCGCGAGAAAGTCTCGAGCATGCGTGCGTGTATAAGTACATGTACAACTGGATGATCTTGTCTCGCGATCGGACAGGTGTGTATTGTACTTTCAACAAAATGAACGTTTGGGGGGCAGTGTAACCAACGGCACCGGTAGCTGCTACCATGTTACATATGTGCACTGTGTGTATGTGTATGTACACGAAATTGCGGTGATAATTTGGGTTGTACGAGCGGATGAATACGGGCCAGATGAGTAAAAGTACTTGACTTTAGCCGGAGATGTGTACATATGTATACGTGTGCGGCAACTGTTAATCATCTCCCTTCTCCTTTTCTCGTGACGGTAACCGAAAAATTTCTCGCAAAACCGGAGAATCGCGAAAATCCGGAGCACACGCTTCTCCCACCCCGGAGCCCTAGGTACCGTTAATGATAATCGTGGGATACGTTGTTTTTTGTAAGATACGCGAGTGTGCCCGACACGGTGATGAAGTGAATTTTTCCAGATTTTGGTAGAAAAAAATAAAAAATAAATAAAAAAACATAGTCGACGAAATCAGGAGTAAAAAGAAACGGTAAAATTACTCAATACAAACACAAGAGGGCAGGAGTTAGTGCAATTGCCGAGAGATATACACAATGCACACGTATAGTACTGTTGTACGAGTGTACTCGTAATGGGCCAAAGTAAAGTGCAGGCCTAAAAGGCACCACCATATCGCCGAGTTGGTATATATATATAAATATATATAAATATATATATACCACTTAGAGAGAAAGAAGAAGGAAAAAATATATGAGAGGATGCTCTTCTGCACATACGTGGGTCTGGCAATAGGATATATGTATATATGCACTCTGGACGAGCGCTCGTGTAAATTTTCCCCCTCTTTTCTTTTGGACTTCTCGAGGCTCGATTAAGCGTATCGGGCGCAGCTTCTTTCTGCATTTGCACGAGCGGCGTATATACAGCACGCGCCGGCTTATTCACGGCGTGCCGGGTTAACGGGTCCGGACCTCGAGGCATTTCCCCCCCCCCTCGCCGCCAAATTACGGGCCCCGTGCTCTTAAAGACGTTAAATTATGCGTAATATAAATATAGATGGATACATACCTGCGGCAAACACGCATACGTACCTATATACCCACATGTGCATACATATGTACTGTGCGGTGTGTGCATACATATAACAGTAACAGCACCGGTCACGGAAAAGGAAAAATTGCACGGAATCACATGTATATATATACCTTACAGTCGGGCGCGCTCGCATGCTTATGGGTGTATAAAAGTGGGCTTTGATTGCGGATCGAGTTGGTAGACAGTGGAGGAATTAAAGGCGCGCAAGCCCAGGGGCTTCTCCCCTCAACTTTGATATACAACCAGTGGAACGTGTCTACATGTGTATGTATGTATGCGCGGGCTCAATAATGTGGTTTCCGGCGCTTGTTTTTTTTTTTTTTTTTTTTTTTTTCCGTTCCATCAGAGACCACGAGCACGTGGCTGTGCTTATATATTATTGTACTTCCAATGTACACGAGCACTCCGTTGAACTAATTGTGAGAAAATCGCACTAACGGCATGAGTAGACCTTTTTGCAGGCTATACGTGTCCAATTTTTTAAGCACGTATGTTAACCTTCTCGAGAACAATATAATTACAATTTTTTTTTTTTTCCAACTCTTGACGTTGATAAGCTGATGAATTGCGAGAGAGTCTTGTGATAAAAGTGTTAAGCGAGTACTCGTTATTTTTGTTGATCCATATCTTTTTTCTACAAGAATTGCGCGCTGATCGACACAAATGCTTGTATATATGTAAAAGCAACACGGAAACAATAATATGCACCCTCTATTACATTGTAAATTTTTACACTAATGAATATATGTATGGAAAAATTCATGTAACGAATACCAATCAGTACACGTATACGCATGAGGTTAAGTCTGGCATGTATAACATCATATACGTGAGGTATGCAAGGATATCTAACCATGCGTCCGCATCCAGTATGACTGGACCCGTGTCGTCACACGTGTGAGCGGGCGTCCTTCTTGTATCATCCCTCTCTTTTCCTCGCTCAAATCAGCAGTGGCAGTGAACGTACGCCCTCGAGAAGTTCAATCGTCGATCCTCCTCATCCTGTTTCTTAAACTATATAAAATATGTCGCCTACCCCTTGCGTACAAGCATTCCTACATTTCTGTTTGGTGTATATCTCTTTCTGAATGTCAAGCAAAACTAAACTGTAATATTTAATTTCATTTGTGTTTAACATAGTTATAACAAATAATTTGATTCGTGCAATAAATTGAAATTTTTTCGTGCAAAGCACAAACTGTTATGAATTTCAAGAAAGTAAAATATGTGACTATAACATTTGCACTCATAACTTTGTCATAAGTTTACTAGATAACAAACTACGTTTTGAAACTATTTTTTAAAAGTTTTACACTATGTGGTTGATTAAATCTTATCGTTAGTGTGTAATGGAAGAAAATTAAATTTAGATAAGATTTACATTTTTTAACCATATAGAGGCCTAAAGTAAAAACTGTAAAAAATCTAACAGTAAAAGCATTATGTTGAATATATTTCAACGTTTCCTTTAATTTTCGGAACATTAACATAATTTTTAGAAAAATCACAAATAGTTGAAAATAATTTTTATAGATTTAAAACTCATGATTGCAATATGGATCTATAAGTACAACCACACCTAATAACACTCTTGAATGAGTAATGTTTTTAAATACTTTGAAATAGGATGACTGGGATAGGTGGGGGTGAAATCTTAAATAATATAACGCGTGAAAAGTATTCATAAAAGTTTCTTGTATTTTTGTCATACTTATCTCTCTCAAGTATATTCACAAAGGACATTAAATCTGACTCATGTGTACATTTGTTCTAATTCTTAGTATTATCGCTTAAGTTTATTATTCACGCTTATTATAACACTCTGTCGCCTAATCTTAAGATTTTTAACGTCTTGATGATTATTTAATCGAGCCACGCAATTTTTTTTTGTCTTTTACGTACAATAATCATATTTTTAGTACATCAGATTTTTACCATCCGATTTTTTTAACGCATCGCTGTGATAAAATTATTGTTTACTTATTGAAAAATTTTCAAAATTATTTTCATTATTGACAAAGTAAGTCTTCTATAAAATTGCTTTATCGTTCCTTTCTAGTTTTCGTAAATCTTTTTTTTTTTTTTTTCTTTCTGAATGGCATTTAAACCGTTTTCACAAACTCATTAAAAAAATTGTTTACTTGTTACGTCTTAACTCTTATATCACTTTAAATATCGTCTTCATTTAATATATTATATATTTTTCGCGTTTAAACTAAGATATTTGCAAGAACAATGATTTATTTTTCTTTTAAATTGCCAGATTTCTTTTTCGTCTTATATAAAGTTTATTCTTGAAAAGGTAATTTGCATCAAAACAGTTTTTATTTATTTATTTATTACATAGTTCACTCCTTCCAGAAGTTTTGCTGCGGTAGCCGCTATTTGATCAGTGTAAACACGGAGATAAAAATTTATGAAAGAAGACATTCCATTGCATTAATTTTAATCTCGATTTTCACAACTACTATAAAATTATTTATAATCAAATATACGTCTGACTTTTCAAACATTAGAATTATTTACAGGTACGACACGATTAAAATTTCATACAATTTATGCTTATTGAAATGAGGTATCGTATCCTTGAGTTTTTGTAAAATTATTGTTTAGCAAATCATCATCATCATCAATATTCTCTATTGTAGTTGCATTGGATAGGACAACATTATCTGTAATCATGTCATCCAATGATTTTTAAATGAATTTATGATTTTTCACTTGTTACAGTTATCTTGTTTTCTATTTCATTGTAAGGCGGACAAGTTTATTTTACGGACATAAATATCGAATGTTTTTTATTACACTTACACACGTTCTCTACACGCTATGTTTTTTTTTTTTTTTTTTTTTTTTTGCAGCTTTTCCTCAAAGTTTTCGTACAAAACAAAATGGCATCTTTTTGGCTTTGGAAGAAAAAATACATTTTTCAACGTTGTCTCTCTTTACCATTTACTCCATTCGTTTTATGTAATCGTAACCTTTTTAGTTTCTTTTATTATGTTACCCTCCAGTCATTTGTTTCAATATAATTTTTTTTCAAAAATTTTCTCACTTTTATATATTTTTTCATTTTTAGTTTCAATAGATTCGCTATAATTATTACAAATATTTTAATATTATAGTCACTCCCTAAATATTAACTTTAACTCTATTTTGGCATCATCGCTCTTAATATCAGTTTCATTGTTTTTTTTTCTTGTTCATTACATTTTTCTTGCTTTCATAAAATACCATTAGAATCAGATGCATTTGCTCTTGTTTTTAATAATGGCAGTGCACTTTTAGTCAAAATTTGATGTAAAAAAAAAAAAAAATTTGTGAACCAATAACAATATTTATAATAATTAAATACTCAGAAGAATTTAAAGTTAAGATCAAGAAACCGAGTAACACACATTACAAAACAGCTATAGATACTTTTAAATAATACAAAATAAAAAAGAAAAACAAACAAATCAAGACAACATTTAAAATTCTTCTCGAGCCATTGGTTGTGTTTTTACCTCATAAAAATGAATTATATTGAAAAAATAGAATGTAATGTTGTTGCCTCGTTATATTTATTACTATTCTTGTATGATTTGATGTTTTAATAACGAGGCAATGATAACGCAAATGCGATTGATGGTCATAGTTGTACTGTGGGTTGCTTTTCCTTTGTTGAAAGATCTAATAGAAACACTATTACTTTGAAAAGCAGGAACATTTCGATTTTTTTTTAAATTCATCCAGTTTTGCACGTCGATGGAACTTACAAAATAAATTTTTACTGCACAGCAATATTTAAAAAAAATTACTTTTATTTTTGTCATAAAAAGATATTTAAATATTAGTTAAATATACTTGTACCAGTGATTCTATCAGATGTTCTTTGTCAGGAAAAATATATATGTGTATGTATATATTTATATTTTTTACAATCTGATATATCGTAAATACATGTATCGAGGATACAGATCAAGGTTAAAAATTTATGGATTAAACGAAAGTATACAATGTGTGAGCAAAATTATTTTAACAAGAATAAAAGTTTCAACTCACGTAGTGCACAGCATAAATTCAGTACACGTTTCTTACGCATATAAAAATGATGGAGATGCAAGTGACAAACTTTGTTTCGTAAAATAAGGATATAAAAGAGAAGACGTCGCATGACAGCATTGTGGAATGGGCTCTAATTTCTATAATATTACTTTGGGACGTCACACATCAGTCATCGTCCTTTTCGCAGCAGAAATATTGGGCCTTGAACCTCGTGAAATTTGCAAAGTGTCAGTTACACTCGCAATTTTCATTGTTTTCGCACTCCAACTAAACTTAAAATTGCTGACATCTCACAAGCAACCACAATCATAGTATACGTAACACTTTTTCGAAACTTAGGTAATAAATAATCAGTTAAATTACATTACGTTACTAATTATTGTATGTTGTATTTATTGATAATAATGAATGATATATGATTCTTAGAGTACTCTCGAATTGGGACGATGCAGACAATTTTACTTTTATTATTTTTAGTCATCTTTGCCTCTTTACAGTTTCTTCTAGTCCTCTATACGCAATTAAATTCACGTGGCCTTTTTTGACCCACATGCACTCAAACATACAATTATAAAAGTTTTTATACAGTCAACTCACACAGTACGCGCAATGATCAGTACCTACGGTTGTCAATCGTATATCAATGAGTAATTTAAATGATAATAAAATTTTCTAAAATCTTAAAGTCTAGTGGGATAGGGTAGTGAGGAGTAAGAAGACAGAAAAAACAAAAATAAATAAATAGTTAATGGATCTTTCTTTACATTGTTATTCATTTTTTGGCCAAGTCCACTTTTACGCATCTTTACCCGCTAAAAAAAAAAAAAAAAACAAAAAAGAAAAACGAAAACGATGAAAAAGTTTCACTTTTCACGTAAAAAATACAAAATAAGAATCCCAATATGTTTGGAAGAAATCTCTCCTAGTATGTACAAACATTCAAATAATACAAGTTGAATTTTCACCAGAGAACGGTAAACTGCTTCCCTTGTTTAACGCTAAAATCGCAAAGAAGTAAAATTTTCGTCAAATTTCATTCTCATTAGCATTTTTCATAACAAGTTTCACGCACGTGTGGCCATTCTCAAATGTAATTTTATTAACGCTAAAAACCGAATGGGATATACAATGAAATGCGGCTACACTTGATCACGCGAAAAATCTACAACCCTATTCGCTCCCAACTGTGTACATATATACGTTTTGCCGTGGCATTAAAAAAAAAAAAAAAAAAAAAAAAGAAAAGAATATTTCTTTTTCAACGAAAGCACGTAGAACACTAATGTTCTCGACTCCCTCTTTATCTTTACAGATAATCATAGCAAAATTCGCCGAGGAAGCTCGAAGCAGGAGCTCCTCGGAGCCGCACCGAGTGTTCGATGCACCGACTGTCACGGCTAGCTGGGTCTCGGGACCTCGCCCGCCAGTCATCCAATGGCCCCGCCCTCTTGGTAAGGGCCGGTTATCATGCACGGATGCATGGGAAACAGGGTCGTCCAGGTCATGGTGGTGTACGTGGGCGAGCGCATCATGAACTGCGAACTCGGCACGTTGGGTACGTAGGGTAGGGGCGTGGCTGGTCCCGCGTCGTTGTTGGCTCCCGTGGTGCCGGACTGCGCCCCCGAGGCTTGGTTGCTCTGTGCGTTGTTCGTCCCAGGCGGCTGAGCACTGCTGGACCCCGAGGCGCTCGAGGTGGTCACGCCGAGCTTCCGCAGCCGCATTTTTTCCTCCCACTCGTCCCAGCCGTGCTTGGGCCGATTGAGGTTGCGGTGCTGGTAGAAGACGAGGCTGATGCGCGACGGGTTCAACCGATTCGGCCGCTTGAGCGCCGTGGTCGCGTGCATCTCGTGCTTCGCGCACTCGAACAGGACGCTACCGTGGCCCAGAGCGATGCCCACCCCACCCATCTGGGAGTCCTTGAAGCACTCCTCGTTGTCCGAGTAGTCGGCGACCTCTCCGATGGGTTCAGCCTTCGGTGGTGGCTCAGCCAGGACCGGGAAGTAGGACGCGGGGCCGTAGAGTTCCCAGCGAGGCCAGCCGGGGGGACCTAGGGCTGGGTTCAGGCCCTGATAGGCTCCAGGTGGTATATTCTGGAAGGGGTACTGGCCGGTTGGGAAGCAAGGCTCCCGCTTGGGCTGTTGGTAATACTGAGCCGCCGGGTAGTCGGGCGGTGGCGCGGCTGGATGATGATACGCGTGGTTGTAGCCGTAACCCGCGGCTGCTTCCCAGGTATTTGGGTATGGTTTGTCGAACATGGTGTAACTCGGATAGCCTGGATACTGGGGAAATGTTGGTGGATGGCCCAGTCCGGTCATCGCGTGGAAATCTGGTTGGACCGACTTGATGTCGGGCTCCGGCCAACTTAGGCTGGGATTTTGATTAGGCGGCTCTTGGCGTAAACCTTCGTGAAAACCTGTGAATCGAAACAATAATTAATCGTGCGCTTATCTCCGATTGTATGTACATTTTTCCATTGGTGCATACCAAACGTACCTTCTTTCAATTTGTCTTGTTGCCAATCGGATTTTCGTGGATAATTTGGTGTCAACGAAGATCTGCCGTTATTGCTCGGACATTCGACGGATGAGTTACTTTTCGTGGGCTCGTGTGGTCTTAAAAACGGCTTTGACGTGGAATTTTGATTACTCGATTCCGAACTTGAGCCATGATTAGGGGTGGTCCTTGAAGGTGGTCGGCCCTTTGGAACCCTAAATGGTGACGGTGATTCCGTTGGCGCAGCTTCCCACGTGGCTTTCATCGAGTCGGAATGTGATCTCTCATCCCATATTGATGTCTTAGGAACATTTCCGTACTCAAATTTGGGTAGCGTATTTTGTTGCGGATTATGCGATGTTGGTTGCGAATATTTTTTCGTACATTCACCGCTACCCCACGAACTTAGGGAGCTCCAATTCGATTGTTCGCTTGTAACTGGATAGCTTGTGTTGGATGTTCCTTTAGAATCATTTTTCTTTGGATCAGCAGGGTTTGACACACTTTCATTTCGGTGAATGTGGTTTGGATGAGAAAGGGGATACCCATGAAGTGGATTTTGCAACAAATAGTCGGAATGAATAGGCCCAGGCGTTATTTGCGAGCCATGTATCGAACCGACTTGATTGAAAAAACTCGTATTCCTACTGAGCTGTTCTCCTTGAGGTGAAAAGAGATTCGGAGATTTTGATACCGATAGAGATTTATCATCTTGGGCATCGGAATAATTTTGAGACACAGTTCCAGAATACTTTTGATTTTGAATTTGCTCGTTCGGATACTTTGGAGATGCTGCGTTCAATAAAAGGTTGTCGGTTGACGTATTCAAGCTAGGACTTCGAAGTTGATTCATACTTGGTGATTGATTCCTTCTAAAAGTTTCAGAACCAATGGCAGTCGTGTGCTGGCTATTCCTAGACGGTGTAGTACGTTGAGGGCTATCAAAATTAAATGACGGATTTTGATAACCAGCACGAGGAGATGTGCTGTTTTGCCGACTATCCATTGGATTTTGATAATTTCTGGGCGACGGTGTCGAAATATTGAAATCACTAGCAGCCGACGAATAACCAGAACTTCGGGGTGAGATGATTCTTTGATCGTGAGATGTTGATGGGCACGTTCGAGGTGGCGTCGAGTAATTGTCGAGAGGTGTGTTGCATAGTGAACCTCTAGGCGAAATAGCATGACCTCGGGGAGAGTGGTTGTAATTAGCTCTAGATATTTCTGTGCCAGCACCTTGCAAGTTTCTAGACGCTGGCCTATAATCATCTTGCGATACCGTGCTCTTCGGTCTCGTGTCATCCAAACTAGTACTGTCAGGATCAACCCTCACCTCTCGATCCAATCCACCGAAAGATCCGTACTCGCTCCAAGGATTCATCCAATGATTCTTTCTTTGGTCCATCCAGCCGGATCGGCTCCACTGCTGTTCGTTTTGATAGTTCCACCCCTGATATAGTGATACAGGGCTGTCAAGTACGGTCGAAGAAACTTGAGAGCTCTGGAGTTGTGCATCCATACTGTCCAACATTGAAGCCATTTCAAGAGGTAACTGAGGATCCCTGAGCGATGGAACTCTTGAAGGATCTGGATACAGAGACGGTCTGTTTGTTTCAACTATTTTTTCGTTAGAATTTTTTGTGTCCTTTTTATTACTAGCCACGTCCGGTTCATCCTCTTTTCTCTTTTTTCCATGGCGTCGACATGGCTGCAGTGGCACCGATCTAACTCTCACTTCGCACGGATATCTAACGTAATATCAAATTTTAATACATATTTTCACACACGTTTTTCGTAAATGGTTAATGAAGTATGGGTTGAAAACAAAAATACTCACTTTTTAAGAACTTCTAAAGCGCCAGTTTTTATTTTTTCCTCTTGGCCTTCCTTAGATCCAAATTCATCGGTATCATCCATGACATACAACGGGAGCACGTGTAATTGTTCATCATCGGGTTTAGCGAGTGATCTATGCCTTGTCAAACTTACAACCTAAACACGCATTTGTAAAAAATTTACGTAATTTATCTTTACCAAAATTACAAATTTACGCGTTTATACAACTTACCACTGTACACCCATTATTCATATTATGCAGATCTCTGTGGGAATGGGCACAAAAGTCTAAGCATGCCGTTACCCCGGAAAATGGCCTGCCAGGCTTAAAACCTAATCGACACTCACTAGCTTCTCTTTCAAACTGCGTTTGATTATTAAAAGCCTCTGGCGCAAGACTTAAATACAACGGGGACAATAACGTCGCCAAAACGTGCATTCTCTCTTCAACTTCTTGTTCCTAAAAAAAAAAAAAAAAAAAAAAAAAAGAGAAAAATCATCACAGTAAGCTCAAAGTTGCATTTAAAAAATAACGATGCCATTTGCACAAACACTCACCTCTGACCTAACTGATAATCTAAACTTTCTGACAGTCTTGCTTCGCGCGTATTTACAACCATTATAATACATGGACCACGAGCATCCAAACGAATAACTGGCACCACAAGAGTCCGGATCGAGGCCTTGGCAAGCGCATGTTCTCGGCTCATTGGTTCCGCATCTTCTTGTAGTTGGCAAGCCAAAACGATTGAGCTTGTGAGTTAACAGGGAATAGATTCGGTCAGCCTCGTGCCCTGGAACTCCTTCCCACGCCACCATAGCCACGACGATCCACGCGGTTGGACATTTGTGTCCTTGACGATGCTTGACCACTGCTAAAATTTTTTCTTCCAGACTCCCTCGACGAATTATCTGTAAAATATACGTTAATATACTCTTTAATAAATTATCAAGGGTTGCAAATAAAAATCAATTTGCAATTAATGATTGTTGTTTACGTACCCACTTGGCCATCGGACAACCTTGTGTCGTCTTTCCCTCTTTTCCCGTGTAGATGACCTTCTCGAATCTAATAGCGTTGCCCTTGAGACCAGTTCTTCTCTCTAAATCGTTTCGAAGATCGGGTAGAGTAGCTGCCGCACTGAGGTGAGTGTAGTACGAACCAGGCTCGGGCGGACCTTGTGGTTTATTTTTACGTTTATTTAAAAATTTCACTTCGATACAAGCGAAGCGTGTAAGCGTTACTACACATCACCCTGATGCACAAACGTTTACTCAAGCGTGATGTGTGTTGGTTTTTTTTTTTTTTTTTTTTTTTCAATGGAGTTTGGTTTTCTAACGTATAATGCATCCGCGTGGTTACAGTGTAATAGCTTTTGGTGTGTTAGAGTACAACGTTTGACAACTCACATTTGTCAGCAGTAAAGCAATCGCAGTCCGGCACTTCGGTCCTCACGTTATTCTTCAGCTTATCCAAATGCTCTTGCAACTTGTTGCCCGCGGTGTTACCGGTTTTTGGACTGGTGGTATCTTCGCTTTTTAGTTCGGACTTTTGAGCCGAGTCTTCGGAGAACTCGTCGCGCGTCTGGAGGCCTTGGCAGGAGCCGTCGCGCAAGTGCTCTGGGGTCGGTTGTTCGGTACCTCCTCTCCTGCAGCACCAAGAACCCACTCCAGTTGGCACTTTGGCTGGGCCACCGTCGCCTTGAAACTTGTAAGACGATTCCTCGAGGTCTCCGTTTTTAGTATCGATTTCCGCGTCGTGCGGTGATTGATGACTCTCGTTTAAGGAAGATTCCGCGCAGTATTCTTGTTTGATTTTTTGGTTCGAGTCGTATTGCGTTTCGGAAAACGCGCTTTCAGTCGATGCCTTTTCTTGATTCGTTAAATTAGTTGAAAGATTCGCAGTTTCGTCGACTACACTCGCATCGCTGCAAAGAAAGCTATTTTTGTTTTCATCTGCATTGATGCACAATCTTTGCTGAAAACTCTTGTCGTCGACGATACTTTGACTTTCTCGATTATCGCTTGTGTTCCACCTATTCCTACTCTCCTCGTTTAGCATCGTGTTATTGCTTTCAATATTAGAGTTTTTGTCAACCAACTTGTCGTCTGGTGTGAAATTCATCAAAGAATCAATGCTGAGCAATCCTCCACTGGACATTGAATTGGTACTCATGCCCGTACTTGTTCCTGCATCCGACCACTCCCATAAGCCACCACCTTCGGGCAAACTATTGGCCCGATGGTGGTGGCTATGCAATAAAAAATTACCGGTCACGGTTTCGTTGCTTTGGTTCATGGACATGAGTCCGCTCTGATTCATAAACTGCTCGTTTCGCTTTCCTTGCGGTTTTTCGGAATTCTCGTGTGACTCCCGTAACCGATTTTCCGCCATGTCTCCATTAGATCCATCCTCATTGTTAGCATGCTGAGATGTTATTTGATTTTGAACCTGACCGTGCTCTTGTTTTATTTGATTTTGCATCTGTTGCTGTTGCTGCTGCTGTTGTTGTTGTTTATTCAATATCATTGATTTTAACCGGCTATTCAAATTGACACGGTTCGACTGAGAGTACATGCCGTCTTGTGCCTCTTGATTCTCGGATAGATAACCATTCTGTTTGTTATTGTCAGTGTTCTGCTGCTGCTGCTGCTGCTGTTGCTGCTGCTGCTGCTGCTGCTGCTGCTGCTGCTGCTGCTGTTGTTGTTGTTGTTGCTGCTGCTGCCACAATCTTTCACCAGAATTTTGCATATCCTGCTTCATGTTTTGCTGAACCCAGCTTTGTTGATTGTCAGACTTTGGGGACCAGTTCATTTGGCTATCCATCTTTTCCTGGACATTTTGATTTTGCCAAGCTGCTGGCTGATGGCTAGGCGTGTGCCTCGGACTAGGCTGTGAATCTGGCCACTGTTGTTGCTGCTGCTGCTGTTGCTGAGATTGCTGTTGGTTTCCGTCACTCTTCATACTACTCGGGGACCAATTTGGTTGACTAGTTGGCGTGTCGGGCCACGACATTTGATTAGAGGGAGTAAGTCTAGGATTTTGCTCGATTTTCGTTTGTTGCTGCCACTGCTGGTTTGAAGGTGTCAGCCTCGAGTTCTGTTGAGAAGAATTTTGTTGCATCTCTGGACTAGTTTGGGGCCAGTTGTGCTGTACAGGGCCTGGCGTCATTCTAGGACTCTTCTGGTCAACCATCTTTGGCGAGTGCTGCGGCCAACCCTGTTGCGCTTGCTGCTGCTGGGCCGATGGGGTCAGACGATTCTGGCTAGGACTATGCTGCGGCCAGTTTCCCTGAGACTGCGGCGTTTGCTGATTGTCCATGTTCTCGGACCACGACTGAGGAGTCGGAGGTGCTTGATCCTTGACGCTACCGTTTTCCCAGCTCATATGGCTCGCGTGACTAGCAGGCCTCGATAAATCCTGCTGCGTCTGCATTTGCATGTTTTGTTGTTGCTCATTCGTCTGTTTTATACTATTGTGTTGCTGCTGCTGCTGCTGCTGCTGCTGCTGCTGCTGTTGTTGTTGCTGCTGTTGCATATTTACGTCAGACCACGACATGGTGTTGTTGACAGTCCTCATCTTGACATTGCTATTGGTTTCGGTCCAAACGTGTTGCTGGTGATTAGCATCCGAGACCTGCTGCTGCTGCCACTGATGCTGTGGTGCTGGCTGAGACTGTGATTGCTGTTGTTGCTGTTGTGGTTGGGCCAAATCAACGTAGCCTGGATATCCGTTAGAGTGGTGTAAGCTCTGTTGACCCGGTTGAAGTGGATACCCAGGCATCTCGTTTCCCGACACATTGTTTGCAGCTATCGTTGCGAAACCCTTGACTTGGGTATCGCTGGATTGCGAAACTTGCGTTGTCTGTTGATTTTGAGTTTGGGATTGGGTCTCCACGTGAACCGAACTACTGCGACTGTTGGGAGTCGTCGATGCTGGTGGAGCCATTGTTATATCCTGAAAAAATATGATTAAAAAAAAATGAAATGCATCCTCACAACTTTTGTTTTAAATTTTTAACATTTCCATCATGCCAATCGATAGCTTATGATTTCTTGGAAAGAACTTAGTTTTTATAGATTTCAATGATTCAAAATTGTATTTTTAACTTAATAAAATGTTATATATGGCACTGTTGAATTCGTTGCTTAATAATATTCTTAGAGAAACAATATTTTCGAATATAACTTACTTTTTTGAGAAATAACAATTAGTAATTTTATAAACGTGCCTATTTCTCATAATCATACAGATTTAAGAACATTCGAAATTTGTTTATTTCGCATCGTGTTAGTAAACATTCGAATTTCATCGAGTACATTTCAGCGAAGTAAATTTAAAAAAATAATATGTGCTTTTATGATAATCGACGAAATAATATTTTAGAAATTTTTCTTGATAAAAATTGGAACAGTAAAAGAAATAAAAAATTAATTTCTACAAAGTAATATAAAAAATTACAACAAGAAGCAACGTAAAATTAACTACCAACGTTATAATAATGCGTAATGCAAAAAACTAATAATACTTGATAGAAAAACTGACAAAGAGCCTAGTTGATCTTCAGAACTTTAATCTAGATAAAATTTTAAGGAGCTGCTCTAAAATAAAATAAAATAAAATAAAAAATGTTAAAAATATTTGGAGTAGCATACAATTAATACCCGATACAAAACCTATTGTTCATTGGTATTTTTACATAAATTAAATGTAATTTTATAATTGAGTTCCAATACGGGTTTTTTGAAACGATTGTATAAACTAAACTTTTAATATTTATTAAAAAAAAAAAAACTTGGATTTTCATTTCAAACAGCTCTTAAAATTTCAAAATCCAAATTCTTCCTGCAAAGATCAACAGATCCCCTTGTGAGTAAAAAAACTGAAGGACAAGTCATCATTTGTGATGAGAGTAAAATGACAAATGAGTACTAGCTAACTGAGCAAACACATCAATGACAAAACCAACTGCAAAATGACTACGACAAAAAACGAATGATAATTAAATATTAACTTAGAAGTCAGAGAGATTGATTGTTCGGCAGCTAACCTGCTGCTGCTGGTAGCCATTGACATACGTGTCCTGTCTCTCGTAGGACTGAACGGTCTGGGCCGCCGTACCGGCAGGATCGATGAATTGACCATTGAGGGGCCTCTGGGCCGTAGTCGCGGGCCCACTCTGCTGCGGCGGGGCCGCCGCCACGGGGGTCAGGGGCGACGGCTGTCCACCCGATATTGCGTACTGCCCCGTCGCCCCGGCACGCTGAAACGCCGACTGATCAGCCGTGATGAAGGCCTGCTGCTGGTACGTCACTGGAAAAACCACACCAATGAACGCACACGCATCGTACACGAGGAGCTCAAAGCTCGACTCGGCGTCGCGTGCTTACCTGTCTGGGGATGGTACGGCGTGGCCGTCGTGTACTGGGTGTGGTACCTCAGCTCCTCCAACTGGTTGGGTCCGGGCAGCTGCTGGATGAACTGCTGGGGCGGCCAGGCCGAAGGCGTCGGCTCGACCGTGACTGCGCTCACTGGGGAGACGCCCTGGTGCCACACCGCGTTTCCGAAGCCAGCTGCCGGCCGGAATCCGGCCCCAGCGTCGCCGTAGAACGGCATCACGCCCGCCGACTGCAACGAGGAAAATTCTACGTTATTCCCTTTTTTCGGATTATTTATTTTTTTTATTTATTTATTTTTTTTTTTTTCTACTTTTGAGCGCAAATGCCAAAGTCGCCCCGGGCCATCATTCGATTACGTTCTCGCGGTTGTGTTTTTTCTCTCGCGAGAGCCCGTCCTTGGCACGTGAGCGGCGATGATGCAACGACGCCGTTAAATTAAATTTACGTCCAGCCGACGCTTTCTTTCCTCTGCGGTCCTTTGCAGCCTCTCGAGCGAAGCTGAAAAGCCCCGTGAAAATTTATGGGCGCTCGCCGAATGAAAAGAGAACCTCCCCCCCCCCTCCCCCCGCTTCGCCAGTGTAATATGCAGAAAATAAGTTTTTGCTCTTTTACCGCGCACCGCGCGTCTTTTCTCGCGTTTATGCAGCGCCGATGTACGAAATTCCCGGAGTGAAAAAAAGTTATTACTCTTAGGTCTCCCCACTCCCCCCTTATCCGTCCCGTATTAATTGAAAAAGCTGTCCGACCTATACGGTCGTGTTCCAATTACGCTGGGATTAAATTGCGAAGGTAATGGCTACACGGTGGCGGTGTATCCCTTCCGACGTGTAGAGCGTGGGAGGAGAGTTGCGGAAGGAAGTGAAATTTCTCCCCGAACGCCCCGCCCTGGCGCGGAAATTGCCGCGGCTCTCCAGCGAATATTCGTCGCGAACCTCATCTCCGCGATCGAACGGCAATTTCATGGGGAAAAAAAAAACGACATCACCCGGATGTCTCGTTAAAACAGGCTCCTTTTTATTTCTTTTTCTTTTCTACGCGATTTTTTCCATATATGTGTAAAAATGCTGAGCATGATATTTCATCAGCCCCATCCGGCAGGCACGTCACATGTACGACTCCCAGGAAAACAATCCGACGACCATTTTACGTTTGGTCGAAACAACAATCGTGGGCTTATCTTGCGTATGTGTTAAACGAGAATCACAGTGAGCTGCCTCTGACGAGCAATCCGAGATGCAATAGGTATACTTGGAATGCAAGAAACTGCTGCACCTTATTTTGGTACATACACCTACCATGTACATATTGCACAGTTAGAAGCCTCTAACCCCCTTTTTTCCAATTTCACGGCTTAATTTACCTCTGAAAAGTCATTTACGGAGGCGGGGGGGGGGGGAAATCAGCCCAAAGTAGCACTCGATGCGGCATATAGCCTCTCCCGGGAGAGGGAGGGGTGGGCGCCTCGGTGTCAAAGTAGCCGCAAGAGCCGGCGTTTGCGGCCGATGTAGGATCGGGGCCAACCAACCCTTCGCCCAACTTGTCGGCAAATCTCTCCCTTTAAACGCCGCCAAGTCGAGTGTAGCCCCGCGAGGGTTGGGGTGGAAAAATCCTTCCGCATGTCCCGGCGTGGCCCTGCTGGCACCCTGACCTTACCCACGCTACCGGATGTATTTCTCGGGGGAGTTCCGGAGCGGACGGGACGGATTCTTCCCCCCCGACGAGGGGCTGTCTGTTCGAGCGGTTAACAAAAAATACAGCCGGACAAAAGCTCGAGGGGCGGGTGGGGGGTGACTGTCGGGACGAATTAACCTGTTATACGCGTCGGAGGGCGCGGCTGCCGCTATTGCTCAGCAAATGGACGGAATTGGCAATATGTCGGGGAAGGGGGTGAAGAAATCGGCGAGCAGTATAGCGTACACAAGCCGGGGAGGGTGCAACTATAAACGGACGGGCGTCCGAAGCCACGAAACTCCACTACTATACATACACATACTGTGAGCGTGTACGGCGTATATACACGCTAGTCGCGCGTATGTAAAGTAAAACCGGGGGGCGATGGAGTTCGTGCAATACGTGTATTTATCGATGCTGCTGGTAAATATTGTTCGCGTGTATATGAGACTGAGACAGGATAGTGGAGTACACGCGCGCACTTGCCTATACATACATGCGTGTGTGTGTAACGTGTAAATACAGCTGGTTAATCGCTTATATTTGCACGAGCCAATGGTCGAAAAGCCACCCTCTCGCGGGGTTCATTCTGCTCTTTTGAATTGTCAGGTTGAGCATCACCGGACAGGTACACGTATCTATTTTTACCGCCATGATTTTATGAAAAAAAAAATGCATGTATTTTTCATTCACGACGAAGGTCGACTGATTATTTAAAATAAATTGAATTTTCCCCGTGAAGCAATGTATTCTTGAAATTACGCGATATAGGTACACTGTGAGTGCACGTACGTATAGGTGAAGTAATGTATGCGCAAGAGCGGACAGAGAAAGAGCGGAGAACCCGGAGGGGCTGGAAAATCGAAGAGACGCCGGACGGCTCTCGCTCGTACATATAGATGACGGCATCCAAGCATGTACGTATACACAAAGGAGTCGGCGATACGCGTGAGCAAAAAAAAAAAAAAAAATTCCATGATCTTATCAATTTTTAAAAGACACCCAATCACGTACGCCTAGTCAAAGAAAATGCGCGACAATTATAGAAAAGAAGAATGAAGAGTGGTGGAGGGGGGGGGGGATGGAAAACGTGCCGATCGACGGAAGCGAGCCAAAGAAAGTCACGTCCGGGTGCAGAGGCCCTCGCGAGGAAGTTGCGATCGATACCTCGAGCTGGTTGTACCGTACATGTATATATACGTACACCGAGAGCCGGCACGATCCCCCGGAAAGAACGGGTCCCGACATCGTGTACACAATATGCACCACCTATACCCAACGAATTCCCACAGAGGGGGGGCTACGTATTAACAGCCGCGTGTCATTGCACCCGGCGACCCTGACCGGCATGTAACCCAGTCAACGACAACTACGATAGTTTAAGCTGGTATAGAAGGAGCACAGCCATCAGATGCACATAGAAAGAGAAACGAAAAGAAGCGAGTATAAGTATATACGAGAGAGGGTCTCGAAGGAGATGAGAGCCCTCGTCGTTGAAATGGCCGCGCGGAGCCCATCAGCGGGTGGTACACGGAGAAAGAGCGGTGGGGAGACGCGGAAGGGGTATATAGACCGCCGGCAGACGCCAGCAGGCTGCGGGGGCGGTGACCGGCCTCGCTCGCTTGCAGCGCCCGCCAACGCGAATCAATACCCCGCAGGAACAGGAACCACCGCCGCCGCGCCGCCGAGGGAAAAAGGGACGGGACCGTATGTATATACAGGGAGCCAAGACCCGAGTCCAAAGACTGTATACTGTCCGCGGAGGATGTGTATACGTATAACGTGTAGGGGAGGTAAAGGAAAAAGAAAAAAAAAAAATTGCCTTTGACACCCCCTCTTTTCGACGTAGGTACAGGCACACGTATAGAAAGAGCTCTCTCGACACGGCTTGCAGCTGGAAAATGGTGCTTGCAAAGCGGCCTCCCTTCCTCCCCCAACCCCCGATTTTTCGCGAGTGCTCCAACCACGCGCCGTCGCGCTACTTTTATATACCCACTCGCGAATCTGGCACCTCGTGGGTCCTTCAAGCTCAATTGCTCGCTCTCGTGTGACGTGCACCGCTCTATATACACTTGACCAGGCGCTTCGCATTTCGCTGTTTCTCTTTGCACCCCCGGCGTGACTTTTTTCACGGGGACAAAGTGTCCGGCGTCAAAGGGAAAAAAGAAGAAAAAATGCCGCTCGATACAACGCGCATACATATACCAGCGAGGAAGGAAAGAAAGAAAGAAAAAAAAAAAAAGAGAGACTGGTTCGCCCAGTAACCTCGGCGGGATTGGGAATTACGTCGCGACATTCCTCTCGAGAGCGAGCGCGCGTGTGTACTATAAACGAGTGCGGCTCTCGAGCCTCGAGTACTCCCCTTGGCGTCCCTCCCTTTTGCTCTTGTTTTATCGCTCTATCTCTCTCTCTATATACATATATATACTTTCACTCGTATGGCATCCATGTGTATATATACATAATTATGTACCAACAAACTGACGCAGCTCACCTGCGTGTGCATGAGATATACTTATACCAGGGGATGCCGAGCAAAGTTGTCGGCAAGAGTGTTCTCGAGAAGATACGAGAGGAGGAGGATATATCTCTGGAAGTTTGAGCGCTCGCGTTGGCGCGAGAGCTTTCCGAAAGGTGTAATATACGCGTATAGGTGTACGGAATATCATCCTCGCTTTCCCTCTTTGTGTACCTCGGAGTTCCTGGATGGTGCCAGCGCGAGCGTTGCAGAGTAGCCGCGAAAGGGAAAGCCCGCCCTCTCGACTTTGCCAAGTTCATCGCGAACGGGTACAATGGAAGAGTGAATGCCGGGGCTGCCGGCTCTCACCGATAGGGTAGACCCACAGAGAAAAGCTCCTCGAGTTGGCAGCAAAAACGCGTGTTCGGTGGGTGCGGAAGAAGCGAGGCGAATCGGCTCTTTCGCGGTTTGGCTGTCGGGGGAAGCCGCAAAGCCGCGATCTCCCGTTTACCTGCGTGGATTTTGTACGCGGTGTGCGAGGGCAATTGTTTCGAGTCGCGATTTTACGAGGACACGCCTGCACTTGCGGAGGAGACACTTGAGCGCGTGGGTACTATAATATACCTGCTACGTTTATGCGGTCGTATATTGGTGTCATTTTGGAAACAGGATCTATTTGGAAATATCGCAATATTTGACATACCTTAATTTTTTCCTTGGCCAATTAATGTCTTTGAATTTTGTAAATTCAAGTTTCATGACAATAAAATATATTTTAAAAATTACGCAAGTATCGTTGAAAATGGATGAACGAATATTGAAATGATAAATAAAAAAAAAAAAAAAACACGTTAAAAATTAATTGAAAGGAATAAATTATGCATGTCGTAACATTTTACACCTTTTAGAGTAAGCCTATATAAAAGCTTGATCACGTACATATTTTCGATTTTACAAAAGCTCTCCCATGTGCACCTATTAGTTAAAAAAGAGTTTTCAAATAACATACTTGTAAGTTCATGTATTGTTTTAAATGATTATATAAGTGATAGATAGTGAACTTCTCGTGACATTATCCATGTGCACGTATACGAACTCGTAAGTACTCGCTTGGTGACTGATAAGCAACGATACGCGTAAATAAAAATTCGTACAAGCGTCGACATATGAGCGACTCCACCAAAAACAGTTTGGGATACTTCAAAACTCAAACAAAAATGTATATATTTATGTTGTACTCATTTTTTACAGGGATGAAAATTTTTTTATTTTCTATCTTTGGAAGTATTAAAAACAAAAAAAATTTGACTCGCAGTGAACCGTGTAATATAATACTCCGAAAAAGCATGTCATATACAGTTGAGGGCACGCTCACAAACTTTTGCAAGTTCATAAAGGCACGCAGAAAATCTTTGTCGCAGAGGTGTACCTGAAAATCCTTTTTCTTTTTTTTCAACCTAAGTCGGAGACGACTAACTATAAATAGAGATACTTTTTGTGGAATCGCTCGTAGAGCTCCGACAAGCCTTTCGAATGCTGGGAACACCCATAGCGTGCACCTCCTGTCAAACACCCACGGTGTATATCGGATTCTGCACAACCCGCGATCGACTTTTATCAAGCCTTCCTACACGCCCTGTATCGTCAAAGGCATCATAATATCTCTATCGAACATCAGTTGTTGACGTGTAAGTACTTTTTTGTTTTTGTTTTTCGTAAGCCTTGCAATAACGATTGTACTTGTATAAATTAAAACTAAAAAGTACAGAGAAAAATGAACGCACCATCGACACGACCGGTGGCGCAGGCTGTCCGTTCCTCAGAGCTCCGGGCTGCTGTGCAACCGCGGAACCGAGACTGTCCTTGGTCTGCTGCATCTGGTCCGTGTGTAAGCTAGGCTGCGGCGTCTGCTGTTGCGGTGGCTGTTGCTGCTGCTGCTGCTGCTGTTGTTGTGGTGCCGTTTGCTGTTGTTGCTGCTGTGGCGTGGGTGGTTGTTGGTTTTGCTGCTGAATGCCACCGGGAAGCGCGATCGTTGCCTGCGGACTGCCGAGACCCACTGGCGCGCTATTGTCGGGCGTGCTCACTTGCCGAGCGATTTTTCGATAGCTCTGCACAACAAAAAATAAAAACCATCATGCGTTACTCGTACACCATCTCGGTGGATTGTTTATTTATTTATTTATTCATTCATTTATTTTTTTGTTATCCATTTATGGTTTTGACGGGTAATAGTATCGTTAAATATTTGGACTCGCTTTCGGGCTCGTTATATTTACGATCATGTGGGTTTACGAGGGAATTGTCCCATGTGCGTATAGGTACAATGTATGCGTACGTCGAGGGGCGCACGTGTTCCCGTTTGTATATTTATGCAGTGGGTTTATAAATAGATGGAATTCAAAGCACAGGCTGGGAACACACGTGAAGAAGATGACGAAGACGAGGGAGATTTATGTGATTGTATAATATTTAGGAGTGCGTCGCGGGCTCTTGAATCATCGAAGACAAACGGCAAGATATGTGAAAAGTTATACATATTTATGGTCGTGACAGTGTAATCGGTACCAGATAGCGATCAAATTTTTAGAGTAAAACGCAATTAAGCAACAAACCCGTATCGAGGAGATAATCAATGCGCCCATCCGACCGGTTGAACGACCGAAGAAAATACTGAAGTAAATTTATATGGAGGAACCCACGAATTTTCGTACAATGAAACATGATCGCGTATCTGGTCGTACAACAACAAACCGGTAATTTACAAAAGCACCGATCATCCTCGAATTATTTTTCTCGGCTGACGGGTGCATCCAAAAGAAGAAAAAAAAAATAGACGAGCTCTCGAGCGGAGGGGAGAAAAATATGAGCGGTGTATCTTTTGAGACGTCAATCGCCCCTCAAAAATTGCGGAAGCGTTTCTAACGATCATACGTTTTTTTTCTTCGGTTATTAGGCCCTTAAACCACGTCTTGTCCGTCCACGGGACGTATGGTTAGCGCAAGCCTACATATATATATTATATAAGCATAACGTATACACGGGAAGAAAAGAAAAGAGGAGAGAGACCCCCGGAGAAAGAGGAGAGGAGGCTACCGAGTTTGTTCGTACTATACGTGTATGTGTGTGTGTGTGTGTGTGTATACATGTAAAGACGAGCGCGAGCACCAAGGACCGCGGGCGCATGGCCTCGGAGCGGTCATTTCACTCGCGCCACGATCCCTCCAGTCTGCCTACTTATATATGTTTATACCTCTCCCCGCGCTATCTCTCCTCTCCTCTTCTATACACGCTTGGTGTTTGCTCTGAATTTCAAACTCTTGTCTCTCTCTCTCTCTCTCTCGTTTGCTCTTTTTTTTTTTTTCTCTCTTCTACTTCTTCTTCGTTTCTTCTACAGCCACAACTTTTGCGAAAATACAATGCTACACCTACATGTACGTGCTCGATGGCAAGCAAGCCTCGATGGGAGGTAGGTATTATATTTATCTCTCCTTGTTTCCGAAACGCCGAGTCTTTGTTTTTTTGGCTGATTCAACGCGATTCGCGGTACTCTCGTTCAATTTTCAACCCTGGCAATGAAATTGGATGCAATCGTGCCATATACGAACAACCAAAAATCGAGCATATAATTATATCAGGCTATAGTTGGTAATGGCACAGGACAGTATGGAAGCCCGTACATTATGTACAACGCGTGACCTGAATTCTTCGATATAGACGGACGAATTGCGCAACCGAGCGATGCTTGCATGGTACCAACACGAATATATAGGTGTACAGTGGCATCGGACACTCTCGATATGCGTTATTCGCGCCTTCGTTGTATACCATCCCTGTAACCCTATATACACGTATACATACCGGCTCGTTTTCGTTTTTACTCTCAGCTGTTGATTCGACTCTGTACATATATATATACACACACAACACGCGCGACTACGTTATCTCATATTATGTGCGTCTCGTCGTATTTGTTGTGTACTCGAGTCGATGAGTTACAAGGTTCGTAGGTGTGGATGAGTTTGCACAATTTTCCGGATAAAGCAAGCCACGAGCCTAGAAATAGAACCACGGGAGTAAAAACAATAAAAAAAAAAAAAAAGGCGATGGTACATGCAGTGGCTCGCTGGAACTTTGAGCCGAGCAATAGAGTATTGTCTGCGGAGCGCCCGGAGTCGAAGCTATTATCGCTGCTCCGACTGGTTGAGAGAGAGAGAGAGAGAAAGCGAGAGACGGAGAACCGGTTAAATAACCCTTTGCTCGGCTGCCCCGGCTCTTTTCGATAGTTTGGAAAGTTCGGCGTGCAGCCACGCATCGTCACCCGCTATATTTTGTCGCCGCGCAAGCCACATTCCATACACCACACTGTATACAACTACTCCGAGGATCGCCGATACGAAATATCGCGGAAAAAAAACCAAAAACAAAGGGAGCGAGAGTTTGCTCGAATCGGCGAGATATACTCACGTGAGACGATACTTTGGGATGAACGCGCTCGACTCGTCCTCGTTCATTATCTGTCCAAAGTAAGTATATCGACGCTCATGCGGCTGCTTTGCCCGTGAAATTGTCGTGCTTCTCGATTTATTTCTCGAATCGATCGGTATCATCGACACCTCGTACACACCACCGTCGTACAGCACTCTCGTGGATCAGTCGCGTACGGACAATTCCAGCACAGCAAGTTTTATCACAAAACACACGATTCACCGACTTTGTAGTATCCTCCCCGATCGAACAATGGTATATCACGGCTCAGCGAGCAACGGGGAAAAGAAAAAGAAGAAAAGAAGAAAAAAAAAAAAGGAAAAAAAAAAAAAACATGCAAGCTCGACGCTCCGTTGCTGTAATGTATTTGCCGTATTATTTATATATCGCGTTTGTAGTGCACGGGGTATGTGTGTATATGCGTATATATATATATAAATATTTTTCGCGTCGCGCTCTGACAACGTCGTGGCCGGGATCGACGGAGCTGACTGCCTCGTGAGGCGCGACATCCAACCGAGAGTTCCCCTCCGTAAGCTCGCGCGGAGGTTCGTTCGTTTGCGCGAGCGCGCTCACTCTCTCTCTCCGATATATAATACACCCACACACATGTGTATATATATATATTTACAGATGATCATCCACCGCACACGGCTTTCGGCTCCGAGAGCGCATAGGTACGTACAAGCGGCCACGGGAGGTCCTTTTCCACGGTGCAGGCGGTGGTCCTCCTCCTCGACCCCGAGCGTCTACGGTCGCGGGTATTTTTGTCCCACTTCTCCTCTTCTTATCTCCTCGTGCATATGTATATGCAGTGGGTACACGTTGTGTACTATATGTGCTACTCCTCCGCGAAAGTATCGTGCACTCGGGCACCGGTCGATACCACCTAAGCAGCTATACATAATATGGTGTTCCCGTGGCCATTGTACAGGTCGACTAGATTGCACAATGGCTCAAAAATCGAGCTCGATCGCCAGCATGAGTTATAGGTATATATATATATATAAATCCACTGGTCGTACGTGCACGGGCAACGTTTTTTTTATGCGGAGGCACCGGAGCGTGGATTAAAATGTGTGCACACGTACAACAACATAACCGGCGTCCCGTGCTCGCGGTTGGTCGCTTCCACTGGCCGCGGGAGCAAACTCGGACTATTTTGCTCTTTCTCGGCCGCTCTCGTGCCTCTTCGCGCTCGTTCGCTCCTCCGCGTCGACTTCCTTTCCGCGGATTCCCTATCTTCTTCTTCTCCTCCCACGCGAAAGCTTCCCCTCCGAACTCCCATCTGTGTGCGCGCCAATACACGGCACTACGGGTGTATAAGTTACATGTACATAGCGTTGGATTTCCAAATTTCTCGAAAGCGCCACTCGAGACGCCGCCGTGGTCTCCATACGAGTACAGGTCCGGGGGGGTGGCGAGGAGTGCAATTGCGCCCCGCCTCGCGTGTACACGTCTCCTCGGCGCCGCTACCCCCGGTTCTCTCTTTCGTAGCCTCTCCGCTTTCTCCGTCGTTCGCTCCGCCAACCCCCGTCTTTTGGTCGTCTTCGGGTAGCCATGGCGATGCGCGAGCTTACGGTGTACCCCCGATGATACTCCCTCGCTGTACACCGGCTCAGTCGTTGTGCATTATTTGATTTTTTTTTTTTTTCTTTCCTTCTTCGTCACGGTTTTTCGCCAAACTTTCCAAAGACTCGAACGGATGTGCTTTTTGCAGCGTTGATGACAATTAAAAAAAAAAAAAAAAGCTCCGATAGTACGACTTTGGGGGAATCGATATTCCATTACGGGGGAGGTCTCGGGGGAGCTTTTTCCTTACCCCCTCAAAGATGCACCGCCCCACCGAGCACGACTTTGCAGTTGCTTCTTTCTTTTCTTTGTTTTTTTTTTTCCCCACTTGACGGAAGATGCCGAGGGATTCGCGGGATCTCGGTAGAATACGAGCGGAGGGTCGTTTATCAGCGAGGAGAGCCTCGCGAATCCGCAACAAGTTGCCGAACGCGTTAAGTAGCATCGAGACCGTGTATACGTATATAGCCCTACTCTGTCGTCCCAAGTAAAGGATTTCTGACCCCTTTTCTTGGCACCTTTGTCGAGCAGATCTCCCTGTGTTTTTTGCCTCTATCGCGGCCCGACATTTGGTGCAACAAGGTACACTTGACCGAATTTTCAGTATATCAACGCGCGTGTGACCTGCAATCGTGTGTGTGATAATTTCGATACGATGGCTCTACGCGTATCGACGAAAATGACGAAACTATTATGAGTAATGAGCTGTTTATACGAGCTTATCTTGAATGCTCGTACAAAGTTGTACTATGTATCTTATCCCCAGGAAGACGTGGATTAGATATTATAGCGTCGAGAGAACCAACGACAAAATATATATATATGCCCCACATATACCCCAAAGTCGATAAACTCGCGGGACTATTAATACACGTACGTTTGGATGCTTATTCTCTACGACGATTTTGGCACAAACATCGATTAGATAATGTACGCGCATGATCGGGTTGTAACGTTAAATGCACCTATATACATAGGACGGCAGCGCTATGGGTTAATCGACGTGGTGAATTCCATTTTGGTGTAGCCCGGCAGATTAATCGAGCGATAAACGATTTTACGCGCTACGAGGGAGCGATGCGTCTACCACCCCTTCTCTGGCGATTTTGCCTGTATACCGGAGTAGGCGAGATTGGAGATGAGACAAGTTTTTTCTGTTGGTTTGATAGATTTTTTTCCAAACGAGCAAAAATGATAACTAGTCGACGTCAGGAGGGCGAAGGAGCTATAGGTGTAACACACATAATGTACGCTCCTAGAGGGGATGGAGGGTGGGAAAATTTTAAACATGGCGGTACAAGCACGGACAGACTGCCCCGGCGCGGCACACGCGTCGATCAATAACGCCTTGTTTAATATCACTTCTCAAACTCGGTGCACAGCCCCCAAGATCGAACGGAAAGAGCTCATTTAGAGCTTTTTTTTTTTTTTTTTTTTTTTTCTATATTTTTCAATGATCCAGGGATGATCGGTTAAAATTGAAATTTGACTCGTCTCTACTTTTTTTTCTTTTTCCCCTGTCCCGGGGGAACTTTTTCAATTTGATCTTTTCGGCAAAGTTGCACGGGATTCCGTTCGACATTGAACTTTTAATTCGAAAGTTTTAATAGAAACGCGCGGGACTCGCGTAAAAGTAAAACCAAGTGCTTCCCGAAGATGCTTCGGAAAAGTTTTTCGTCGATCTACCTATCCGGGGACACGTGAAATGGTAGAGATTGATTTTTTTCCTTCCAAACATGTCGCAAGCGTAAAAAGATAAACTCCTCGTGGATACAGTTATTTTTTTACAAACAATGCGAAAAGTATCGATTTTAAAATAAAAATACATGAACCGGTATCTCAAACGTGTTTATAATTACTTCTGTATTTAAAAACACATAATATCGATGATGCGTTTTATTTTGGTCGTATGAAAAAAAAAAAAAAAAATACATACCCTCGTTGAACCTTTGCCCCGACCTCTTCCCCGTTCTCTGAACGCTCCTTCTCCTGTTTGCAGATGATAAAGATGCTGAAATGAAAAAAGAAAAGATTGACGTTAAAAAAAAACCGTAATAAACTCATCAGACGACAAGTACTGTCATTACATCATGTTAAATATTATATACATTAACTCTTCGTATCCTGATGGGATGGGATGGAGAAAAAAAAAAAAAAAAAAAAAAAGACAAGCAAGGAAGTTCAGCTATCATTACCGAGCCGATTGCATTCTATAGTAAAATCAAGGCTCCCGTATTATCCCAATTGCCCTTGTTAGCTTTAATAGGAGCCGCAATAAAAGTATATAACCTTCCACGACTTTCACGACGCATTATCATAGTTGAGGCAGAACGATAACTTCACATTGAAAGTAATTACGATTTAAAACATGTCAAAACGTCATTTTTTATAATTCCATGATCATCGCCCCCGTCGGGGGACGAATCTTTTAATAACACCTCGTTTACATTGTTTTCGAGACGCGAGGAAACAACTTGTTATTTAATATCCTCACTTGGTAGTAACATCAGATACTTTTTGTACGCAAAAAAGAAATTGCGATGTATACGGTGTAGTAAAAATCGATCGTCGTAAGAAATACTCTTATCATCAGCGAGGCGAGGGAAAAAACGGCAGGTACCGACGCGAGAAAGTCGTACCAACCGAGACGTGCTGCAGGGACCTGCAGTGTTTAGTTGGGAACGGGAACGACTGCGAACTGCGTCAAGAGCACGGAGGGTGGCGCTCCCCGGCCGCTCTTCGAACTGCCTTTACCGACAATGCGTGTATACACTCACTCGAGTAAAAACGATTTTTTTTTTATAAGCGTTTAGACGGGTTTGCAGAAAAAAAAGGTATTTCAATAAGGTTGTTAGTGATCGTTTCAGCTAAAAAGCTTCGATCGGCAATCAAGTGGCTCTGAAAAAATAATTAGAAATGATCAATACAAAGATACAGCGAGCCGCTGCAGCACATTGAGAGCAAAGGTATACATAATGTTATAGAAAAGAGCAGCGCAAAGGGAACGCATTGCGGGGGGGGGGGGAGAAATCGATAAGTCGCGCGTGTGCGTACGCACTATAAAAACCAAGGGAAGAGTTGCTCCCTCGTGTACACACACACAATATACATATATTACGTCGCGCTCGTCCAGCGCACCACGCGGTCCAGCGACCCTAACGCACCGCAACGATCGCGTCTCCTCCCGCCGATGCGTCCATTGGCGACTAGAGAGCGCGAACTACCGGGCGACCTACCTACCTACCAACCTACCTACCCACCCACCCATCCGTGTACTAACTCATCCTTTCTTTCTCTCTACCTGTCGTCGCACACCTCCCCGATGCACACGCGGCCCTCTTTTACTCCCTATGCATGTACGTATCTGTGCACGATACGAATATGCGCCGATGCTCGTACAGCAGCGCATATAGCCAATGAGCGCACGCTCGACAGACAGGGGTGTTGGTTCTTCCCTCAGTGCCCACCTCCCTTGGACCATTAACAAACACCTTAACCACCTATTGTTTCATCTTTTCAATTTTTTTTTCCTCCCCCCCCCCTCCGTACACCTTGCGGTTCGGGCTCTCTTCCCGTCGTCACCTTCTTCCCTCCTCGGCATCATCCACTTGACGCGCACAAAGCGGGGGTTTATACGAGGGCCAGGGGGCTACAGGGGACGCCATTGCTGATACATCGGCGGTTGCATCGCGATAGATGAGGCAGTTTTACGTATTTGTATGGTGTATGTAGTATAGATGCACTAAGGGGGTGCACGGGTGCGAACGGGGGCGTAATTAATGAAGGAAAGTGGGTTTTCGCCGCGAGGGGAGTCGTCCCCCACGATCGTCAAACGATCAGCCGCGTTGACAGGCTTCGGTGTATATTATGCTGTTGTTGGGTGTTTGGGTGTGCAATATTGCACAAAGGGGCGAAAAAGGGCGACTAACCCGATGCCCCTTTTCCCTTGGTCTCTCTTGTCCGGTTATCCTTACACCCGCTCCGCAGAGCGCATATTTTCAAAATTCCCTTGTTCTCTCGGTGGCGGGCGATTTTTCTGATTTTCCTTTATTTCTTTAACCACAAGTTGACTTATCTACGTATACGTTTGCAGGAAGGACGAAAAAACAGCAGTCCCGGAGGACAGAGAGCGGCGGATTCCCTGGAACGTATACGCAAGAGGTAAAAATACACGCAACAATCCACCATCACAATGTACATTATATGCACACTTGAATGCCGTACGAAAAAAAAAGAACCCATTGTCAGGGTCGGAGAAAGGGAACGCGCCATAAATTTGGTATCGACGCGCTGTGCCGATTCTCGGATCCATGCACACATCGGCCAGCCGATTGGAATACAAAGAGGCGTCTCGTTGCATCGTCGGCGCGGCTCGCTTTAATTTTTCGGCACGGGCGTGTCGAATGTATGTATATTATACATACTTGGTACACGCGGAATATTAAAAAAAACAAAAAACAATGCTGCGTGCCGTGCCTACTAAAGTGCCTACTCTTATCGTCTCCTGGGGAAAAAAATCGAGCCCTTTGCCGCCGAGGTGATTTCCGAAGGATACAGTAGCGGGCAGAGAGTCCTCCGATAAGCACACGCATAGCAGTTGTGTACGAGGACAAAAAAGACGCGATCGAAAGAAGAGTAGGTGGTGCGCGTCGAGGAGGAAAGAAAGGGCCCCGTGTTTTGGGTGGAGGGCAATTAGAAGCACGCGCGCACTCGCTCACGCAGAGAGAGAGAAAGGCGAAGAGCAGCTGCCACGCGCTCGCGTCGAATCGGATAAGCTAATTAAAATATTTTATTTCGTGGATACACGCCGAGCGCGTTTCTCGCGAGCAGATGCGCCTCGTACGATAAGCCGCTGCGTGGACTTGACCGGCGATCGCAATTATACGTTCGCGCTCGGGGTGTGTTTATCGGAATTTCCTTTTCTCTCTTCACAGCTATTTTGACTTTCATTCCGTGGCTATACGTGTACACGTGTCCATTGTTGATGAGTTGCTGCTATGGGCAAACTCGATCTTGCTAGTGTGATGGGTATTACACAAGTTGTCCTCTCAATATAAATAAAGTCCATTTTTCATTGGAGCTTTGGCGATCAACGTATTAATTTTGTTTAGCTGTACCGAGGTATACGTGAGAAGCATCACAGTACCGAATTTACCAAATGCAACTTTTGTTTGGAGAAACATAAATTTTTTTTTTTTTTTCCATACAGAAGACGAAAACTCTTTGCTTATAGGTTCCACTACTCGCGGTTAAATGTCGCTCATCACTTTGGCGGCAGTGGCTCGATCCTCTTCCAGACAAAATGCAATGCTCGAACGATTTTGTTACAAGTTGTGGTATACTTGGAGCGCGTGGCGGACACAAGAGGTTCGGGTGTTGCTGCCGATGTTTCTTTTACGTCGTCATTTGGAAGTTGTGCGTTTGTAATGTGTTTAGTCTACGTTTCAAATCTGACGAGTAAGCGTATGTTGTTTGGTTGAGGAAAAAAAAAGGAAAAAATCGAGCATTCAACGATATTTATTCCAATTGTATGTTTGTAAAAGAGGAGTTTGTGATGTCAAAGAGGACAAAAACTGTACGTTCTAACCGCTAGAGTTTTCGGTCAATTTCCGCGGCGTCGACGCCACAGCAGCTGAGTCATATTTTTTAAAAGTAGCACTCAAAAGCCCGGGCGCGCCAACGACGACGGCTGCAACGGCGCGCAACAGCCAAAAACACAGGAGCGAGCGATTGCGCGGCGCAGCTGCCGAAGAACCGAGCGGCCCGATCGCCTCTCCGAAAACAGTGTACGTTCCTTACCACCTAAATAACATCTGTTGAGGGAATAAGAAAAAGGAAAAAAAAAGCAACGCTCTTTACACCCTGAGATTTATCCCCCCCCCCTACCCCCTTAAAGGTAGCGCGTATCCAACTCGCGATCTGTCGCCTATGGTTTTCTCGATCGTCGTCGATCCTCCGTCCACGGGTGAATTCACGTTTTTCCACGGGATCGATGATCGGTAACTGAAATGCAACAGCGAACCTTGGGCACTCGCATACACGACACATCCATCAATTCCCGTGTCCCTCTGCATTACAACAATACCGAGGATTTGTTCAGGAGCGAACGTCTGTGTGGGTATACTGCACGTGACAAAATTGAGACTTCCCGGGGGCCCTGTACGATGCGACGGAGTCGGAGAACAATGATGCCACGGAGGACATTAGACTTTTACGAGGCGTCCCTTACGGATTGTAGATAAGGCGATCATCCGTACTGGTAATGTTTGAAAAAGGTGAATCCGATGCGAGTATAGGTATATATACAACGGACCCGGCATTGTTCCGAGTCGGAGGTCAAACTCCAACGGTTGTAGCGGTGCGAAAGAACAGCTGGGAGAGTATATAATATATGTGTATACATATATATACATGCGAGCCAAAACCATATACCCATACCACATTATACAGCCTACTTATGTACTTAAGTATACAAGAGAGCGGCAGGCAACAGATACGCGGTAGCGATATCTATATATTTTTTGCACGAAGACTCAGCTGACTTTAATTTCAACAAACCAATTCGCTCTTTACCTGTGTTGGTTTACCTATACTTACGCACATGTGTGTATATTGTGTGTGTGTGTGTGTGTGTGTGTGTTTGCGGGGCTACAGGTATACGTACATATACAGTGAACGCGACAGATGGCCGGCGGACGTAAAGAGCCGTTGCTCCCATTAGAAAGTGACTGTGTGTATATACATATATGTGTATATACACACTTATACGTATATGAGAGCACGCACGCGATCGGCTGTTGTACACGAAAAAAAAAACAACAGGTTGTTCTCTCTGCCATGGCCAATTGGAATTTTACAAAATTCATGCAACGATATCACAATATACATATATTACATAGGGTTGATTATAAAATACGGACTGTTAAATGAATTGAGAGTATGACATTATTGCGCGTCTAATGAATAATCATTACGGTCTATTGTTACGCGGGGGCTGCATTAGCATTTTAT